AGAAAGAAAAAAAAGAGTGCACCCCGTAGGGACCAGCAGTTAGCATAATGGCTATGTTGCTGGACTCCCATGTGGTAAACTGCAGTTCGCGGCCCGGACCAGGTGACTTAAAACACACGCCAGGCGTGTGTGCGTGTGTGCCTAAGATCTCGAGAGGAAATGGAGGAGAAGGAATTGTGGCGTGGCCATTCCCCCTGGGTGGTGATTTCTCGCTTTCTGCCTCTCTGTCTCTCTGTCTGGTGAGCATACGTGCCGCCCTATAGCAAAAACCTCTCCAAAAAAAAAAAAAAAGGGAACCCCGTAACGGTCCTAATTTATTTAATCATAAAAAAAAAAAAGAGTGCACCCCGTAACGGTACTCATTTATTTCATCATTATCACTATGATGATCATCATCCTTACTGTCCTAGAAATCTAGATTTTAGTGTCAATTGAGTCAGAAACTGGCTGTTTGACTTTTAGCTAAATTATGTAACTTCTGTAGGTCTGTTTAATTCTTTGGAAATAAACAGAGCTGATGTGAGTATAAAAACACTAAGGATTTTTCCTAAGTATATAATTTAGTAATGATTCCTAACCAGAATTGTTTACTATTTAGTCGTCTATTACTGATTTTGAAACTCCGAAATCTTCCTAAACGTAGAATTTTGGTGATAAGTCGATATGCGCTTATTTTTGTTACCATTTTCCAAATTCATAATGTGCTAACTTTATTTAAAACTGTACCTCTAGGGCAAGCTCTGCCTGTTTTGTTTGTTTTATTTTTAAGATAAACCTCTGTGACTCATAAACGTTACCAAAAAAAAAAAAAAAATCATTCAACAGATATTCTTGTGAACACAAGTAAAACAAAAAGAAAAATTTTCCCAAATCTGAAATACAAAAGGTACAAAAGTATGCTTTTATGTTTTATTCTTGAAAAGTTAAGACATATCTTGAAAGAGAAATGTGTGTTTCTAATTACGAGGCAATTGAGCATTTAAATCTCCTTAGCTGGTCACGGACATTGGCAAATTGCTCAACACCAGAGATGATTCAAGTTCTAGGATGATATATCTGCAGCGGGCAAAGGCTGGAATCTTCCAGGAGCCAGGTCCTCTTCACTGAAAATCTCACAAAAGAAAAATACCTAAATATGCTTCTGTATGTTCTATTTCATGTATGCCCATGAGAGATTATTTAGGAAAAACACAAGTTGCAGAACCACGTACTTCACAAATACACACACACACCTGCATACACATGTGCACACACACACGCACATCCATATGTTCTACCTTCATCGAAAAGGTCAGTAAAGTCCGGCCACAGGGGTGCATCTGGTAGGGTACTGCTGTGCAATGCTGCAGACAAATGGGAGGCCCAGGTTCAGATCCCGGGTCTAGGTCTAAGTGGACACGCCACATATACCTGTGATCTCACTGGCCGGGATGTGGGGGCAAGACTATGGCATGATGAGACCTGGTTGAATGTACCTGTCTTCTTTCTCTCCTCTCTCTCGTGAAAGAAAGGCAGCATACTTTTAACAAAAGAATATCGAGATAAATTCACCCTGGCTACTAATATTGTTAAATTTGAAATATGGAATGGCAAGGGGTAAGAGGTTTAAGGAAACTGCTACTTTTTACTGTACACTTTTTATATTGCATCAATTTGCACATTAAAATATATTGTTTTATAATTTTAACTAAGCAAAGTTTAAGAGACAAATCTATATCAATAATTTCATACTAAAAGCGATCTATTAAGATAATACAAAAAGAATAAGCAGTAAATGAGACATTTTGTAACTTTGAAAGCCATTCTCATTAGTTAGGATTCCAAGGCTTGTCTAGTTCTATCACAATTTAGCCCACAGTTTATGCAATTAGTATCTGTGAGACACTTTGCTGAAGACCCACATGCACTAAAGCACTTAATCCTCACACTAAATCTATGAGATTAGCATTATTAGCCTCATTTCATATGAGGAAACCGATGCCCAGAGAGGTTAAGTGTTCTTGCCAGTCACATCATTAGAGAAGAGTGGATTTAAAATCTGAACCATGATCTTAACATCACACCACAACCCATCTGCCTTCCCTCTTACTGCATTTCGGGAAATGAACAAAACAAACTTGGTATACATTAATGAAAGTTGTGAAGTGATGATGCAAAGGATGAAATCATATCACTATGATCAATATTCCTTCACAGAAGTTCAATGCTGACTAGCCACTTACTCTAACAAACGGGTGCATTTTATGTGCCTAAGTCTTGCCAAAACAGTCACTGAAGATAGCAGGATGAATGTAGAAAATGAAAAGAATCATAAAGTCTTCACCTCAACAAAGCGGTTGGAGGAGTCGAAGTAGGTTAACCATTCCATGGACCAATACATTTACATCAGATTGCTATAGTTTAGATTGCAACACCCCCGAGGTCCGGAACCAGATGTTTTGTGTTTTTCTGTTTTCTTAATCATGTATTCTCTACAAAACCCCACAAAACAAACTCTCCAATCATTTCAAAAATATGAGGGGGGCGTTTAAAGAGTTTGTGGAAAAATCGAATTAAACTATGATTTTATTCTGGTGCAAAAGATTTTGAAATCCACGTCTTTCTTTTCATGATGTATGTTTTCCGTGTATACTATGAAAAAGTCCCCTTTGGGAAGCCCTTCTTAAATATATATAAATGAAAAGCTCAGGATACAGTGTGATCCAGAGGCTTAACCACATCAAGAGAAGCTCAGTTTCTCACCCTTCTCGGGACGCCATTTCCTCTCCAAGGACCTTTCTTAGATGGCAGCTTGCTGGTGGAGACAAGCAGTTTCTCACACCTACCCAGGTTTAAGTTCCTCCTTAGGAGATCACTCAGACCAAAGTCCTGAGTTTCTCTGTGATCCAGTCCACTTAGATTATGCATCTTCCCCCAAGCCGGTTACAAGGGATTGGAAAATGTGCTGCTCTAGTTGGCTCAGCCTGGTCCCTCGTGCCCCTTCTGGACCTAGAGTGGGAGTAGCTGAGACCACACAGAGGAGTGGGTGGGAAAGGTTAACTTTCAGGTGAAATTGGGGTCATTTACTGGAGACACTCAAAGCAATCAACAGCTCCACACTCTGCCCAGCCAGGTGATGCCACCCACTGACTCTCTGAGGTAACTGACGCTCCCACAAGTCCTCAGTGACATCTGGTCTCAGTCAGCTACACCTCATAGAAGTGCTTATAATGGGGGAGGCAGCAGGTGGCATGAGTTAAGGACTCCCACATGGCTTTCTGCAGTTTGAGTCCCAGACCTGGTAGCTTGCTTTCTCACTCTTCTCTCTCTCTCTCTCCTCTCTCTGTCCTTCTCTAGTCAAATTAAAATTAATTAATTAATTAATTCTTTTTTTAAATAAGAGAGGGGCTTACATTGGGCCATGACTTACCACACAACTCTAGAACTCGTTCAAAATGGCATCCCAACTTCCACTCAGGCTGCTCCATGGACCATACTGGAGGCCCTGACTTTCTTGCCCAAGCTTGAGTCTCAACAGCTGTTGAGTGGTAATCCTGAACCGTGATGGGAAGGCCTTTTTGCTTCCCAGAACTTATTTATTGATGTAGCAGATAAAGGAAGAGCACAATAACTGCCTAATGTCGCCTGCCCAGATATAGAGGAAAGTGGGGAGTAGGGGTGGGGGAGAGGGGTGGTAGAGGCAGGAAGAAGGCACAGAGAGAAGAATTTACCTAACTCAACCCCTTTCCAAGTTTGCCAGTTTATCCCCAGACATCCCACTTAAGGGAAAGATAGAACTAACTCTAAAACTGGAAGTTACTTAGTTCAGCTATCAAAAGAAAAGTTTGTCCTGAGCGGGGAAGGGGACTTATTTTCTTTATTTAAATCTCCAAAGGTGGACAAGATATACGTAGTAATAAAAAGGATCATGACTTAGAAGTCTGATCTGTCAGCTTCTCGTTGCCAGTTTTCATTCTGTCACTAAAGATGAGACAGCTTTCTTATCTGCCTACTCAGTGCTAAAACTTTTAAGAGTTTATAGTCTTCATATTTCAAGGTGCCTGAAGAATGTAAAGTTCTCCTATGAAAATGATATATATATATGGCAAGATCCTTGATTTGTCACATACTGCATGCATACCCTGAAAAGCCATATTGCGTTCTATAGAGATGTACAATAAATGTGAATACAAAACCATAAAATAAGAAATGAAAAAAACTTTTCACAGTGCCCTGTTCTAAAGGTAAATTTCTGCGAAATCTTAAAGAAAAAAAAACTACTCTACCCTACAAAATGCTAACCCAAGAGGATATATTTGAGAAAATATACTTCATTTTACTATTAATTAAACTTCTATACTGATGTAAATATGAGATGATTTTTTTTTCATTTCAAGTAGTTATTCATCACTGAAAGGAAATAGAAGCAAAGTCTTTCAACAAAATGTATGATACTTTTATTTCAAATATACAAAGACCACCATAGAAACCCCTTCAGCCCTCAGGTTTCTAAATTTAGTGCCAAATACTGTGTCGTTGGAAAAGTCATGACATGTTTTCTCTATGTTTTCTACAAAATGTGTCCTGACTTTTCAAAAAAACCAATATATCCCAGATCCCATACATATGGCTAGATACACCTAGGTATCATGCCCATAAATCTAAACCTTGAAGCATCATCCATACAGAAATTGTATCACATAACAGAGCTTAATACCAAAATACCATCGTCAGAACTACTCACAGATGGGTAGGTTAAATACAAAACTATATAACTTGGTTTTCTCTTAAAGGAAATCCCACACAACAAAATAGCAAAAGGCAGGGAACCAGCAATTAGCGTAATGGCTATGTCGCTGGACTCCCATGTAGTCGACCGCGGTTCGCATCCTGGACTTGGTGGCTTAAAACTCATGCCAGGCGCATGTGCGTGCATGCCCAGGATCCCAAGAGGAGAATGGAGGAGAAGGGATTGCGGCGTGGCCATCCCCCTGGGGGGTGATTTCTCGCTTTCTGTCTCTCTGTCTCTTTCTGTCTGTCTGGCGAGCGCACGCACTCTGTAGCGAAAACCTCTCTCAAAAATAATAGCAAAAGGCAGAGATGATGCAAAGAAACCATACATGTCGTTTAGTTCTGAAACAGCGATGCTCTCTTGGGTAAGTTTTAACAGAACTGCTATATTAATGTTTGTTGTTCATCATAGAACATGTGTGTGCATGAGAGATCAAAAAGCATCCTTGCAGGGTCTCCTCATGCCACAGCCTCCTTTCCCCAGCCTTCCAGCTTCTCAGGATCCTGGCACGTGCGCACACACTAGCGTGTTTCTAGCCAACCTTCAAGATTTAAGCTTGCTATTGACCAAGTGGTATCTGGCATTGCAGTTTAGTCTGCCCCTGAGTGGGATACCAGGCTGGGCGTAGAACTGCTACTTTAAACACTCAATAATTCAGATATGAGAACTAGTCAGATTCGTCAAACATCTAATGTAATTTTTTAAGAAGAGGTTTCTGCCTTAGGGTATGTGCGCTTGTCAAAGAGAGGGAGAGACTGGGACCAGCAGTTAGCGTAATGGCTATGTCGCTGGACTCCCACATAGTCGACCGCAGTTCGAGTCCCGGATCCGGTGGCTTAAATTCACGCCAGGCACATGTGCGTGCATGCCCATGATCCCGAGAGGAGAATGGAGGAGAAGGGATTGCGGCGTGGCCACACCCCCGGGGGGGGCTTCTCACTTTCCCTCTTCCTGCCTCTGTCTGTCTAGCAAGCGCACGTGCCCTATAGCAAAAACCTCTCCAAAAAAAGAAGAAAAAAAAAAAAAGAGAGAGAGGGAGAGACAGGGACAGTGAGAGGGAAAGTGAGAAATCACCTCCGGGGGATGGCCATGCCCCAATCCCCTCTCCTCCCTTCTCCTCCCAGGATCTTAGGTACGCATGCACATGCACCTGGCATGAGTTTCCAGTCACCAGACCCAGGACTTCAACTGCGGTTGGTCATGTGGGAGTCCAGTCAGGTAACCACTGCAACATCTGCACACCCCTCAAATACAATATTTTGCTTTGAAGACCAGTTCAGGGTAACATACCTCTTAAAAGGCTTTCTTTTTTTCCTGCAGTTTCACAAATTACATAAATTGAGACTCTACTGTTAAACTACTTAAATCCCACTTTTAACCATGATGACTTCCCTTAGTAGGAAGCTAAGACCTTCACCATAGTTCTCATCATGACATTCCTCCAGGTCCTTACCACACAGGCTCTTCTGACGCATTACCTCAGGCATTGGCCCTTCTCACTTATACAGAACGCCTTAGCTTGGAAAGAAAACAAGGGGTTTTGTTCATTTGTTTGTTTCAATAATAAGTGTGTATTAAAAGTCCCATGACTTTTTAAAACTAGAGCTGGGATTTACATTTTCCAGTGGAGTGGTCCACAACTCTGCCACCTGGTCTCAGAATTTGTAGATGTAGGACCACTGAGAAGGAGTTGAGTAAAGCAATATAACTGTCAAGCGCTCTTGCCTGAGAGATCTGTCACAGGAGCTCTTAGGGTCTGTATATTAATATCAATATCGGTTATGGGCATTAATATCTCAAGGGTGTCTGAGCAGTTATTGCCTCAGACTGCCCTCCTGACCCCACCAGGAGCCCTGTCTATTTATCTTGTGTTTGACCAAAGTCCAAACCACTGAAAGGCCCTTACTGCAAAGTCACCACAGGCCAGCTCATCCACGCTAGATGGACTCCAGTCTCCAGCTCCATTATCCGTAGACCCTCCTCTTGAAGAAGAGATCACAGTGAGTCTTGCTTTGCTCACAACTTGTGCATCTCTTCATGCTGTGTTGCTCTTGTGATATCCCAGGCCCACACTAGGACCTTCTTTCCAGCCACTGACCTGTTATCCTCTTCACTACTCTCAGAGAATCATGTCCAGGGAAAAGGACTTCCTTTCTCCACCCTGTTCCTTGATGTGATTATTAATTTATGGATCAACAGGACTGTTCTAAGGGATGCCCAGATAGCTGATAAAACATAATTTCTGCACGTGTCATGAGGATTCCTAAGAGGATAGCATTTGAATTGGTCAATTGAGTAAAGAAGATCACCCTCATCAGCTCAAGTGAGTATTATAGAAGCCTCAAGATCTTAAATAGAACAAAAAGTTGGAGAAAAGGTGAATTCAGTTTCTCTTCTTTGAGTTCGTACATCCACCTTCTTCTGCACTGACATCAGAGCTCCTAGTTCTCTGACCTTTGGACTCCAGGGTTTATACCACCAGTCTACCAGTTCTCAGGCTTCATCCTTGAACTACATGTCTGGTTTTCTTGGCTTTTCTGGCTTGCAGATGTCAGAAAATGACTCTTCTTGATGCCCATAATTGTATGGGCCAATTCCCATAGTAAACCTTCTATTAATCTCACTATCTGTATCTATATATTTCTATGTCTATGACAGATACCACTGCGGATACTGCTGTTTTGTTTCTCAGAGGAACACAGACCAACATGCTTGTGCACGCTTCATCAGGCACCAACTTAGACCACTGTCCCTTCATCAATCAGCCCACTTGTTTTTAGATCTTCCTTTTTCTTGCTCTGTCCTGTGTGACCTCCACATGCCAAAACCTTAACCCCATTAAACAACCTCAGCATTCAGAAATATCCTACATCAATACTGTATGCTGTTCATTAAACAAAGGAACACATGTTTAGGTCCCTGGAGTGCTAGTTCACTCCCTTATCAAATGCTTCCCTTTCTCTTCTCGTGACGAAGCTTCATAAGGATATACTGGGTTTGGTTAATTCATTCCTCTTTTTCTATATTATAATCAAAATAATAGCTACCATTTCTTGAGAGACAGACATTGTTCTAGGCATTTTATGTAAATTAACTCATTTAATCTTCACAATAACATGGTGGGGTTTCTATGTTATTATTCCTACTTTACCGACAGGGAACTGAGATCTAGAGAAGTTTAAATAACTTGCCCAAGCTCATGTAGCTAATGGGTGACAAAACCGGACTGAGTCCTGTGTGGTCTTACACCAGGCAGACTTACCCACTGCACCGCAGCAACCAAGAGAAGAAAATCTGGCCAATCAGGAAAGCAGGAGCCCAGAATTGGGACACGCTCCTGGAAACACAGCTAGGAAATGCAGGGCTGCCCTCAAATCTCATTTTTCTTACTCAACCAAAACAACCTATCTCTTTTCCAATGACCTGCCGCTTCCCATCTAACCCTTTTCCGTATTTCCTCTCATGGAAGCTGTGCATCCCGTCTACACATTAGCCTGGTATTGACAAACTCCCAGAGGAGAGTCCCACATGCTTGTCCATAGGTGCAGCGCTCCTGGTTCTGATGAGGAGAAACGGCTAAGTGGAAACAGGCTCTGTAATGCCTTTCTTCCACCACAGTCATGGGTCTCTAATACTAGTTTGAATGATATGAAAATGCTGAGCTGGCCAGTATTTATGTTTTAAAAGCTATAGTTTTTTGGGAACCAGTAGTTAGCATAATGGTTATGTCGCTGGACTCCCACATAGTAGACCGTGGTTTGCGTCCCGGACCCGGTGGCTTAAAACTCACGCTGGACGCGTGTGCGTGCATGCCCAAGATCCCGAGAGGAGAATGGAGGAGAAGGGATTGTGGCGTGACCATTCCCCTGGGGGGTGATTTCTCACTTTCTGTCTCTATGTCTCTCTCTGTCTGTCTGGCGAGCGCACACGCCCTATAGTGAAAACCTCTCCCCCAAAAAAGAAAAAGCTATAGTTTTTTGTTTTGTTTTTTGTTTTTTGTTTTTCTTTAAAAGGTTTCTACAATAGGGCACGTGTGCTTGCTGGAGAGAGAGAAAGACAGACAGACAGACACAGTGAGAGGCAAAGTGGGAAATCACCCACCAGGGGGATGGCCAAACCACAGTCCCTTCTCCTTCATTCTCCTCCTGATATCTTGGGCATGCATGCACACACACCCAGCATGAGTTTGAAGTCACTGGGTCTGGGACTCAGACCGCAGTTGGCCATGTGAGAGTCCAGAAACATAACCACCATACTATCTACTGCTCCAAAAGCTTTAGTTTTGATGGTTCAACTCAAGAGAAGATGGTCACCCAGCGGAGTGTGATGTTGGCTATTACAGAATCCCCCTAACCTAAGTGGACACAGAACCAACAGACATGGACTATGGCTTAGGAAGGTGTCACTTTCCCCATAACTTGCCTTGTAGAGAGTGTGTAGGAGGTCGGTAGAGGCATCCTACCTCCCACTACTGCATGGAGGAAAGCAAACCCACCTGACTTCCCATCAGATGCCAGAGGAAACCGTGGCAACCTTTGGCTGCACAGCATGGTCTGCGTCCCCTCCAAGGGGTACAGAGGAGGGAAACATTCCCAACCATGTGGGCCTCACCACCATCTAGTACTCACTTCCCTGGCCATGGTCCCTCACCACAGAAAGAATGCAATATAATACAACTAATCTAGACACAGCCACAGCAAGTTCACTATAATTTAAGACTAAAATGGAATGAGAAGCACCGCCCTATGGTAAAAAACAAAGACTGAAGGAACAAACCTCATCCGGCTGTCTGATTGATTAATGGATGACATGAATTGTAGCTCAGCTCTGCGAGACTCAGTAGTTAACAAATGTCAAGGTTTATTGGTGGGAATGAAATTATGGGGACAGCATGTAAGATGGAATCAGAAAGAAGAATTTAGTGGGAAACAGGAACTTAAACAGTACCAATAAATCAAAGAAATAAACTAAGAAGAAACACCACAAAAAAGTTCAAGCAACCCTATTAATAGGGAATGAAGCCCAGAAGCCAGAATAATTGAGTTGTCCTAGAGAGGAAACCACGCGGAAGGGCGGATTTACAGCATCGTCTTGCCTCATAGAGGTGAACGGTAAAAGAAGGCCTTTACATAGGTGGGAAATACGGAGGTGGAAAATACGGAGGTATAGCAAATACAAGGGGGGGGTGGTCTACAGAAGGTTCATGGAAAATGCATATCATGAAAAAAGACGCACAGATTTAAAAAAATGTTTGTACCCAAACAAATTCATACGTCAATTGCATTTTCCACTAGTTTTTCTGGCAGAAGAAAAATCTCCTTATATTAATATTGGCAACAGGAAGATAGAGATCATCACAGCAAACCATGCCTTATCAAAGAGGTTCACTCTTTGGGTGATTTTTTTCAGGCATCCAGTAGTCAGACTTTTCTTGGTTAAACTAATAAAATGAAAATCAGTTGGTCTAGAAACCACATTTCTAGGGATATAAAATTATGTCCTATTAGTGACTTCTTGGGAAAGCAAAAATATGTCCACATGGAAAAAGAAAGAAGAAAAAGAAGGTGATAAAGAAACCAGCTTTCTCAAGTACAAGGCAAGAGCTCGTCTATAGGAAGAAGAGTCACCTGAGTCCGCTCCCAGCCCATGACGAGGGACACTATATGTACAGTGAGCGTGGTCACCCCTCAAGCTGTCTCCAGAGGAGCCACACCTGTGTAAGCTAGAGTCCAAGAAACAGGGACCCTGGAAACATACAAGGTCAAGGTAGGAGGTTTAGAGGTAGCTTTCTGGTCTAGAAATATACTGGCCATTTTGCTTGCCAGACCTATGCATACATACACTTGAAGTGTGACTCTGAACTAAAATGTGCTATAAGCATACCATATAAACTGGAATAAAACAACAACAAAAAAAAAAGGAAAAAAACAAGACTAGACTATTTCAACAATATTTTATACCATTAAGGAGTTAAATAGTAATATTTTAGATCTATTGAGTTAAATAAAATGTATTACTAAAATTAATTTCAACCTAGTTTGTGGCCAACTGGATCCTGCATGACTAACCATGCAGTTTGAGTCCCAGACCCTGTGGCTTGAGAAAAACTCTGGGAACATGTGCGCTCAATTTCCCAAAAGAGGAAGAAATGAGAAAAGATTGTGACCTGGGACTAGCAGTTGGTGTAATGGCTATGTCACTGGATTCCCATGTAGTCGATCACAGTTTGAGTCCTGGACCCAGTGGCTTAAACTCACGCCAGGTGTGTGTGTGCATGCCCAAGATCCCAACAAGAGAATGGAGAAGGGATTGTGACGTGGCCATCCCCCCATGGGGGGGGTGGTGATTTCTCACTTTCTGTCTCTCTGTCTCTCTCTGTCTTTCTGGCAAGCACTCTCATCCTACAGCAAAAACCTTTCAAAAAAAGACTGTGACCTGACCATCCACCATAGGGTATAGGAACGGGCTTTCTCATTTTCTCTCTCTCTGTCTCTCTCCAACCAATAAACAGATGCTCCGGAAAAAATTTTCTTAAACTTACTTTCACCTGGGCTTTCCTTTGTTGGGAGACTATTATTGATTTAATCTTACTGCTTATGGGTCCATTTAAGCTTTCTACTTCTTCTTGGTTCAGTCTAGGTAAATTATTTGTCCATCTCAACTAGGTTTTCTTGTTTGTTGGCATATAGTTAGCCATAGTATTCTCTCATGATCTTTTGTATTTCTGTTATATCTGTTATAATGTTACCTGTTTGATTGCTGATTTTATCTGGTTCCTTTCTCTGTTGATTAGTCTAGCTAATGGTGTGTCAATTTTATTTATCCTCTCAAAGAACCAGCTTTTGGTTTCTTTTTTTTTTTTTTTTTTTCTGTGTGGTCCTTTTACTCTATTTTATTCATTTCTGCTTTAATCTCTATTATTTCTTTTTTTTTCTGAAAAAAATTTTAGGGGGGGTTCTCTTTTTCTGTTTGTTGTTTTTCTAGTTCCTTGAGGTATGTCATTGGGTTTTTTATTTGCCACCTTTCTTTCTTTCTTTTTTTTTTTTTTTTGAGAGGTTTTTGCTATAGGGAACGTGCGCTCGCCAGAAAGACAGACAGATAGAAAGCAAGAAATCACCCCCAGGGGGGATGGCCATGCTGCTATCCCTTCTCCTACACTCTCTTCTTGGGATCTTGGGCATGCATGCACAGGCACCCAGCCTGAGTTTAAGCCACCTGGTCCGGGACTTGAACCCCAGTCGACTACATGGGAGTCCAGCAACATAGCCATTACGCTAACTGCTGGTCCCTGCCACCTTTCTTTATCATTTTTTTTTTTTTTAG